GTGTGTGTGTGTGTGAACCTAGTGCTCATCACAAATTGGAGAACTCATAATGGCTCCCGTGACAGAGTTACACGTCCAGAACCACGCACCCCAATCTGCAGTGCAGTTTCACAGACTCTGTTCCAGGAACATGCCTACTACTCGCCCCCCAATGCACATCTAGAAACCCACTCTCCAATAGGGACTGAGAAGAGCAGTGGAATCTGTTCACTGACTGTGCCAAGAAACTGCCCTTAGTGCCCTGTGCAAGTCTCTTTGTGAGTCGTAGCAAGTGGTTGTGCCTCTCCCAACCACTCTTCAACCCCTTCCCCTCCCCCCTCAACCCACCCAAGAAGCTTGTGCCAGACTATATAAACCCTGAACCGGACACAGCATAGCACAAATCTGTCAATTGCTTGCTGACATGTATTGGCATATGGTTGGTTCAACAACGAAGGCCATATTTATATCGGTGGATGTATCCACCTCCAAACACATCCAGATTCAGTCCGAATACATTGTTTGTGCAAGTATGCTCTGAAAAACACATGACAATTCCACCTCACCTTGATATTGCATTTGTCATGCAATATCATTACGGGCATATTACCGGATTCTTCCCAACACATCAGTCCTGCAGTGAGTTCGGCCATCTGATTGGTCAAATATATGAAGTCATAACGAGTCTGCATTGTGTTCGGGAGAAGAAGGTAGTGTTCTTTCCTTACTTGCTGTTTTGTGGCTCCAGGTTGCCTATCCATACATCGCCAAAAGACTTCTCACAGATCCTGACCCAGCTCTGAGGGAGCGCCTTCTCCAGGTGCGCATTCTTTTCTTTACCATTTTTTCAATTATCTTCTTGTTTCCCCTCATCCCCACACCCCACCTGAGCCCACTAAGGATTGGATTGAGCCGTCAGTCTCTTAGATGCAAGCAATTCTCAAGGGATGGCCTTTTGCAGATTGTTTTCTCTTTCTTTTAAATTATTTTTTTGAAAAGCTTTGGACCATTTCTCGATATATGCGTGTCATCCTTGCACAGGGGCCATGCTAATCTTTCTCTGTATCGTTCCTGTGACGAGGCAGAGGCAGAGAAGCGAGGCTGGGAGAGAGAGGGAGAGTGAGAGCACACACACACGCTCACTCAACGTGACGCAGACTCGACACGACTCAGCGGACACAGACACAAAGTCACAAAGTCGCAGTCTTGAATTTCCGAACACAATGTCGAAGCCCAGTCACACTGAACACAAGCACTGAGGCTGAAAAAAAAAAACACTCCCCGTACTGTGCTTGAGTCGTACTTAAGTACCGGACTCAAGTACGGTCCTAAGAGCACACACACACGCTTACTGTGCTTGCACAGGGGCCGTATGCGGTCCTACCGGCTCGACGGTTCGGATTGTCGTGCGATCTTAAGACTTAAGATGGCACGACGATCCAGGCCGTCCGCGGTCCTACAGGCCCGACGGTTCAGATCGTCGCGTGATCTTAAGACTTCAAGATCGCACGACGATGTGAACCGTCGGGCCGGTAGGACCGCAGGTGGCCTGGATTCCCGCGGCCGTTGAGAAGAGGGTCTGTACGTGCCCGTAGGGAAAGAAATGCCCGTACCTGTCGGGCATTGGCCTGTTGCAGGGGGGCGCCCTCGCCGTGGTGGAGTACGAAGGCCCGTTGGGTTGAGGGCTTGCCTGTATTGCCTTCTTTTGTGGAGGTGTGTATAGCCACCGTGACATCGCATGGGCGCACGCACACACGCACACACGCAAGCGTCAAGATGCATCATGGGGAGCAACCTCCTGATGAGTTGGTGAAAGTCCGACGAAACAGTCTGGATCAGTCATGCTCTTTTTGTGGAGTTATGCATAGCAAACATGACAACCCACGCACGCACGAATATACTCAAGCACACATACACGCGTGCACAAACACTGAGTGGGCGGGCATGTGTGTGTGGGTGTGTGTGTGTGTGTGTGTGTGTGTGTGTGTGTGTGTGTGTGCTGTCTCTTATACACATCTAGATGTGTACCCCCCCCACATGTAGAGCTTCTCGCACTCCTCCCACTTCTTCTTCCTCCCTACTAAATGCATATGAATGAGGATCATTAAGAGAACCGGGAAAAAACAAGGTGCAGGTATGTATGCATTCCACCCGCACCTTTTACGCCTCCTTTTTATAGCATTTCAAGTGGGCCGTTATGGGACACGGATGTGGGAAGCTCGCCCTCAACTACGTCAAAGTGGCAAGCCTTGTATGTCATAGGCACAATAAACGTGGAGCTGCGCAGGGAAAAGCAAACAACGGTTTTGGTGTGCTTCCCGTTGTGATATTTTTGTCTGCTATTGTTTTCGCTTGCTTCTCAAAGTGCAAGGGGATAGAGATGTGAGGTAAAGCTGTTTCAAATTTCAATTTCGCATCTACTCATCCGGGTGGATAAGGGGTTGTCATGGTGACAGTCAAAAGCACACACACCATTGAGTTGCTGCTAGTTCTCTTCAAGGAGTGTCCTCTGGGTGTCTCAGCCGAGTGCAGCGTCGCAGTGAGAGTCAAGCGAGTGTGTTCCCTTCTCTCTCTCTCTCTCTCTCTCTCTCTCTCTCTCTCTCTCTCTCTCTCTCTCTCTCTCTCTCTCTCTCTCTCTCTC